TTTACGGTTAGGGTTAATGCTAAGGGTCAGGGTTTGAGAGAGAGAGAGCGCTCGAGTGAAAGAGGGAGGGGGGGATAGAGCAGAATTACCATGGACACATCGCATTAGCTGGGGCTCGGTGGCAGTATTGCTAGCGGATACTCACGCCTGGGGCTTCACATTACATTAGGGATAGGCTTCGGGTTAGTTTCTAGGGTTAGGATTAGTATTTGTGGTTAGGGTTAATGTCAAGGGTTAGGACTAGGGTTTGAGAGAGAGGGAGGAGATAGAGTGGAATTACCATGAATATAAATACTTCCGGACAGGCAGCTGTCCATATCCTTGGCGCTTCAAACCACGCGGACAAGAACAAAAACAGCTCAAAAAATCAGAAGACGATTTGCCAAGCTCTCTTCGTCCCTGATGATGGATTCAAGTGAGAATCCGAAACGTCAGGCGAATAAAGACCTTGTTCCAGGGATTGCTTCTACTTCTGATCAAGTAGTTCCTGGAACTCGCATCTTCGCTTGTATCGGTATGCAACACCGTCAAAGGCGTCAGCGGTCACAACAGCTCAGAATTCTGTACAGAAAAAATCCCTCATTTTGCTGTCACTAGTCCTTTCTTCCAATCCAGAAGTGGACCTTATGAGACAGAAAGAGGGATTCGCTTTATTCTAAGATTATATATCTAAAACTTTCAGCAAAAATGGGCTCAATTCACTGTAAACAGAAAATAAGTTAATAACTTAATTAAGAGTTAAAAAGTTTTACACAAAAAGGAACTACTAGTATGGGGACAGTTAGAGTCTTGGCTTCTGTATTTTTGTCTTCTCCAATGTAAGATAGCGCGCCAGGAATGGCAATACAGAATGCTGATATGCCGATGGACGACAAGAGATAAGTTGAAAACCACGGCGTATGGGGCGGGAAGATTTCACGGAGATTAGTTTACGATGCAGGGAAGGGCAACATCATCTAGAAGTCGACCAGCCAATCGCTTGACCGATTTGAAATGTCGTTGTAGGATAGTATTGACTAAAGAGTGATAAGAAACACCGGCAGCAGAAGAGAACATCCGGGTGACTCGTTGTAAAATGAACAGAGCTTTTCAGAGCAAAGCAGGAAAAAGGACAGGAGTGCAATAAAGAATAAGAGGAAGAAGAATCGCAAACTAAGTGTGTGGTAGGAACGTCAACGACTTTAAGGTTTATAGCTAGGACTAGGGTCGGGATTTGGTATTTGTATTAGGGGTTTAGGGTTAAGGATTGATGTTAGTGTTAGCGCTAGGGTCCGGATCTGGGGTTGGGGTTATAGTTAAAGTTCAGGATTAGGATTTAGACTTAACCTAAGGGTCAGGGTTTACGCCATTTTTACTCACTTCCATGACTCCCTTCTGATTGCTCACCTTCTTGGCCAATCCCCATCATTCTAAGTGGAGTTAGTTCTAACGGGCTAGTTACGCCGAATTTTTGTATTGTGCACTGCTTACGTAGAGATTTTAGTACCTATTAAAACAAACTAGGCCACATTGGTTTTTCATTAACTTTTTGCGCATTCTTCCGTGTCTTCTCGTAGCACCACCCGTAAAACCCCTGTTCCCGCGGTTCCCAAACTGAACGCGCCTGGGCGTCTCCATTTCCTAACAGGACCGCGATTCCGAGCCCTGTCCCGTGTTAGTTGATTTTTCAGGAGGGGAAGCACCTCTCTGCCGACCTTCCACTAGCACGTACCAGCGAATTGCCGAAGCCCTGTTAGTCTATTGGTAATGAGGTCTGGTGGTAT